ACTATGTCACCCTTGGAAGAGTGCCATGGCATCACAGCTCACAGCAACCTCAGACTCTTGGGCTTACCTCAGCCTCCCACATAGCTGGGACTACAGGCGCCCGCCACAACAGCCAGCTATTTTCTTGTAGTAGTCATTGTTGTTTAGCTGGCCCGGGCCAGGCTAGAACCTGTCAGCCTCGGTGCATGTGGTTGGTGCCGTAACCACTGTGCTATGGGTGCTAAGCCTCATATTACTTTTTTTATAAATATAAAATATTGAAACTAAAACCAACTTGGGTGAATTATTTTGATTAGTAAGAGACCAAAGAATGGGGGCTGGGCATGGTGGCTCACACCTGTAATCCTAGAACTTTGGGAGGCCAAGGCAGGTTGATCTTCTGAGCTTAGGAGTTCCAGACCAAGCTGAGCAAAAGCGAGACCCCTATCTCTAAAAAAAAAAGCCAGGCATTGTGGCAGGTGCCTGTAGCCCCAGCTACTTGGGAGGCTGAGGCAAGAGGACCACTTGAACTCAAGAGGTTGAGGTTGCTGTGAGCTATGATGCCATGGTACGCAACCCCAGGATACAGAGGGAGACTGTCAAGAAAGAGAGGGAAAGAAAGGAAGGAAGGGAGGGAGGGAGGGAAAGGAAAGAAAGGGAAAGAAAGGAAGGAAGGAAGGAAAAGAAAGGAAGGAAGGAAAAGGAAGGAAGAAAGGAAGAAATCAAAGAATGTCCAGTAGTGTGCTATGTATGGTAACAGTTGTTTCGATAACTACACACGTCAATTGGCATGTTTTGTTTCTGAGCCCTCCACAAAGGGTTAATAACCTCTTTACTAACCTCCAGTGGAGAGAAATCATGATTGACTAGGAATGAGAGGCCTCCCACAGGGACTACCAGAAACTCCACTCGGAAGGTATCATGATTTCCATCGTAGGTTGCTTTAAATTTCATGTAGATCAGGTATACTGTGGCATAGGAGCAGGCAATGTAGATAAGCTAAAAACAAAAGAAAAAAATACCAGGTTGTCAATTCCTTTCAATGGTTCCAACTTCCTCAATTTTCCTTATCACTCATATATTTAGAAAAGTGAGATTTTTTCCCCCTTTGGCTTTAAACATAGTAAAATTAGTTTTGGAGGGGTACACAGTTCTATGATTGATACTATGCATGACCAACACCACCACAGTTAGGACAAAGAACAATTCCACCATGTGGTTCCTTTGTAATCAAGCCTCCCTCAGGCTTAACCTCTGAACTTGTACTTTCTTTGTCCCTAGGACTACCTTTTCTAGAATGCCTTTTCTATAAATGGAGTCATACAGTATGTTGCCTTTTCAGTCTGGCTTCTTTAGTTACCATATGCATCTGAGTATCAATAGAATTTGCTGTAGGTACAGAAGGTCCTTGAATAACATTGTTTTAAAATAGATTCTTATCTGGGATCACTATGTGGCATTTGCAATTCTCCTCATAATTGTGGGTTTTCTCTGGGTACTCTGGTTTCCTCCCATATCCCAAAGATGTACATGTTAGGTATGAATTGGTATGTTTACAATCTCTTGTCCCAGTCTAAGTGAGTGTGGAAGTGTATACAAGTATGCCTTCTGATGGAATGGCATCCTATCTAGGGTTGTTCCTGCCTCACATTCTGAACTGCTAAGATAGGCTCCAGCCACTTGTGACCCTGAAGCAGCAGGCTGGAAGATTATAATCATACCAATGTGTGACAATAAACAATGCAGCATGGGCTCGGCACCCGTAGCACAGTGGTTACAGCGCCAGTAACATACACCGAGGGTGGCAGGTTAGAACCCAGGCCGGGCCAGCTAAACGACAATGACAACTGCAACAACAACAACAACAACAAAAAAGAAATAGCCAGGCATTGTGGTGCACACCTGTAGTCCCAGCTACTTGGGCGGCTGAGGAAAGAGAATTGCTTAAGCCCAAGAGTTGAAGGTTGCTTTGAGCTATGATGCCACCGTACTCTACCAAGGGCAACATAGTGAGACTATCTCAAAAACGAACAAACAAAAAAACCCAACAATGCAGCATGAAAGCACCCAGCAAGCCTGCCATATTTGATATTGTTTGTTTTGCTTTTGAACTGTGGTGGGAGGAGGTGCTTCTTAAAATTTTCACTTTGCAAACATGTATTCCTTGCTTTAACACACCACCACTATGACCACCATTTCTTAATGATTCACCAAAAACTAGGTAATTACCTTATTTTTATTAATATTTCTTAAAAGTATGCATAGCTGGCCAGGCGCAGTGGCTCATGCCTGTAATCTCAGCACTCTGGGAGGCCGAGGCAGGTAGATTGCCTAAGCTCAGGAGTTTGAGACCAGCCTGAGCAAGAGCAAGACTCTGTCTCTAAAAAAACAGCCAGGAGTTGTACAGGTGCCTATATTCCCACCTACTTGGGAGACTGAGTAAAGAGAATTGCTTGAGCGATTTTGAGCCCAA